TGGCTCAATGTCTACGTGCTCGCCTTGTAACCAGAAGATCCTGGGTTCGAACCTTGGCGGTGTGTGCGTACTGCTGAAGAATCCCAAACTAGGATGGGGGAAACAGCTGTCCAGTACTCCCAGCTGGTTTTCCAGTGGTTCTCTAACTGATGTCAGCTCATGATGAAATCCTCCATGCAAAAATAATATAATTTATCAAGCACCATGTAGTCACTATGAGTGAGGCCAATTACATAGGTCAAACTAGTAGATTAGGCTTGACTAGATTATTGGAACATAAAGATTTAGCCAGCTAGAACTAGAATGACTGACCCTTCTAAGTGAAATAACCTAAAAGAAACAGAGATCAGCAATTGCACTGCAATGCATTCCTTTACATGTAATCATAAAATAAGGTGGGTGGGACAGGGTGAGAATATTAGAGAGTCATACAGTTAGGTGGAGAGATAGAGATATTGTTCTAAATACATTTAATCCTACTCCAAAAATATGGTGGAGATATGTGGATAACAATTTCACACAGTGTTAAAAACAGAACATATCTCTGACTTATTCACACATATATATATATAAACTCGCTAGTAAAGGGAATAAAATTCACATTTGAATCAGAAAATGAACAAGGAGAATTAGCTATGAAGTTAGGTGGTAAAATAAAACGGACGGAAGAGGGTAAACTGCACACTGGTTTTTTTCTAAAAAGCCAACGCATTCTGCTAACAGACAGCTGGACTTTAATTCATCACTTCATCCGTTATCTGTCTGTGTAGGTAGGCTTAGTTAAGTGTCTAACGAACACAGAAATAACAGTACTAAGTAGTACATCAAAAAACCTAAACGATGAAATGAAACAGATAAAAGAATGGCTGGTTACTGTTAAGTAACTAACCATTCTATAAAATGCATTAGGAAGATCAGAGAAGGTGGAAAACAAAATAAAAATAATGGTGAAACTAAAAATCATAACATAAATAAGAGAGAAAATAAGGCATCCACAGTAGTTTTAGCAAATAAGGAAGGCACATCTGAGATCCTCTCCTCGTAGGATTCTCAATAAAGCAGGAATTCTGACCTACAAAAACACTGAGAGACAAGTTCTGTAGGCTAAAGAACCCTGTAGGTTGACCCAATTCAACAAAATAATATAATTTACAAAATACATTGCAATGACTTTGAGTTAAGTCAACTATATAGGTCAAACTAATAGGTCGGGGGTAGTCAGATTATCAGAACATAAGAATTTAGATAAGGTAAGAATGGTTGATCCCGAGAAGATAAGTAATTTAGAAAAAATACTCAGCAATAGCACTGCATGTATTAACACACAATCACACAAGAAGGTGGGTGAGACATAGGCAAAATCCTAAAAGGTAACATAGGCAGGTGGAGAGAGAGAGGTTGATTACTGAATCCTGGTTCATCGAATAATCTACACTCAACACATGCAACAGAAATGACTCAACGCAAATATCAGAGATATGTATGGAAGATATTATTACCACCAGTCAGTCAAATCACAGGAGGATAATAAGTAATCTTAAAATTCTATTTTAATTCACCTACATCATAATATTGTAACAAGTTACTTATTTATTTTCCTATGAAAACATTCGTCTTATTTCCCATCTGATTGTATTTGATTGATAACACTCATGTTATTATTATTTCTGAATGTACATTATCTTATACTGATTCTATTCAAGTGTCTAATCATCAGTTTTACTCATGTATATGAGTGAAGCAAGAAATTCGTGTGAGTAGTGGCTTGATATGATAATGAGCAGTAATGAATTGTGCTCGAAACGTGGTCATCAGTAAATATTACTGTATAACACCAGTGTGTGATTTATCAAAATAAAATTTTATCTATAATGGAGTTGTACTCTACCAACACGGTGTTAAAGTTTTCTACTTATATCGAGAGAGGTTAATCACTAAAGCTTTGTTTATCGACTCAGCACCACACGCGTGCTGTAGGAATGATGCAACGCAACGCCACCTATACCGAAAATATGGATAGTGGCGACAAACAAAGGCAACTTGGAGAGACAGAAAGAGAGAAAATATACATATATAATAAGACAAATCGTGAAACTGTGTGGGGCTTAATTGATATGATAATGAGCAGCGATAATTTATACTCAAAACCTTGTCATTCAGTTGTTAATACTGCATCAGCACTGTGTGACAATTAAGGTCAACCGATCACTGAATATATTATTCTATAGTCGTCTTTCTAACAACTTCGCGGGCTTTTATTCCTCCTTAACTCTACTCATGGTTACTCATATAATCGATTGAGGTGACTGGTTCAAATTAAACTTCGACATTTTCACTTCTTTGTCGATTGATTTTTGATATCATTGAATAAGGATATACTGTTTTCTGAGTGATATAACGCTTTTTAAATCATGGAAAATTCCCAATTTAACATATAGAAAATCAAAACAAGTGGTGATTCAACGAAGAGACTCTTTTCAACAACGAATTTATCATCAAGCTGTACAATCGTATATATATGGTTTTTAATAAGTTATATCCAGTGAGGGAATTAACTGATAGGTGTGAATGCATAGAATAATAATAATAATACGAAATGCAATTAAATCTAAAATGTTTGTGATTATAATCGTAGTTGAATGTCAAGTGGCAAAGCAAATTAATGTCATATATAGAATAATTCATAGGATGGATAGAACTTGGTAAGTGGAGGGTGCGCAATTATAAGACTAGTAGACAAATCGAATAAAATAAAAACGTTACGTAATATTGAGTGAAATTTAATAGCATAGAATTTAATGTTGCATATAGGAATTGATTTAGAATGACAACTAGGAAGAGTGAAATAATACCGGGGACAGTTAAAAGTGAGGATAGTCATAGTTACAACTGACGTAACAAAGGAAGAGTATACAAATTGAATAGACAGAAATGAAAAAAAATGAAAAATTGGTAGAGCTAAAATATGATTGGGGATTACCATACTTTAGCATAAAGGGATTACAAACCATGAAAGTTGCAGGTGAGCGGATGGACGAACTTTTTTCTGTACACAGAGATCTGGCTTTTCTGCTTCGATAGCCAAACATGGCTTCAGCAATACAGATGAGTCGGGTACGTAGGGATTTGGGTAAATTACTCTATACCTTGTAGATGACTTCAAAGACGGAGACTATAGAGATAGGGTGATCATTATCGACCAGATGTTCAATGATCGCGCTTCTTATTGCTCCACTTCCCCCTTTTCGTAACTACCATGCAGGATAGTGTTCTTGCATCCTGTTGAACAAAACTCGAGTCGAACGACCGATATATCTAGATCCACGCGAGCAGGTGAATCGATAAATACACATAGAGTTGGTCAACAGCGGGTTCAGGCTATTCTCAGAGATGCAGTAGGGAATATTCTTTTCAGGGACTCTGATATCCTTCGTTTCATCATATCGGAAGCTAAGTCACCTTTGAATTCCAAGCTCGTGTAAAGTATCTTCTTGGGTACGGTTGATAACTCACGTTTTTTAGGATTTGAATGTATATTCTTATCTATAAAACGTGGTGGAAATCCATTTTCTATTAGGATTTTCCTCAAGATGTATAACTTATCTTCCACAGTATCAGGGCTACATATGCGCGGAATACGAGTGTCTACTAATCTTATAATTGCACACCCTTTTTCAAGCTCTATCCATCTTATGAATTATTCTATATATGACATTAATTTGCTTTGCCACTTGACATTTAACTACGATTATAATCACAAACATTTTAATGATTTAATTCCCTCACCGGAAATAACTTCTTAAAAACACCAAATATATACGATTGTACAGCTTGATGATAAATTCATTGTTGAAGAGAGTCTCTTCGCTGAATCACCACTTGTTTTGATTTTCTTTATATAACGTTGTCGAAATCTGACACTAATCGATATGACCGGTAATAGTGGTAATAGTGTTGCGACGACAAGTAATCAATCCCTCTGAAAATCAAACAGCAATACCTATTTCCAACCACTCCTGACCCTCAGAACCCAAGCAAACAAAGCTTGAGCTAGGTAGAACAATTGAACCTTTTTACCCTCGAATACATTATATCAAAAATTATTACCAACCGTGGAATGTTGAGCCAATAAACAACTAATCTAACTGCTTACACAAGTGCCAGCTTAAAGCTTATCCAATCTCAATAAAACAAATATTTTACCTCGGCCTGATGGTTAAAATTTGTCCATACAGGTTTTAGAAGGTTTCACAGTTATTCAAAATTAGGGGCATTTGAAACTATTGGCGCTGGATTTGAATATCGGTACGTGGGCCAGCGCACTATCACTCACTGGGAATGCAGGCTTAACCAACTGATGAGTCCTAAAATGAGACGAAACACGTAGTCGAAATTCCACTGCAAGCTACCATCGTTCTTAAATGGTTTTGAAATATGTCCTATATATGTATATATGTGTATATACATATATATTCAGTTGCCTACACACAAACTATGGAGACATTTCGATAGCTTGCTTTCCTTTGTCCTTCACTAATATTCATTTTTCATTTACTTTCTACGTGGATGAAATAAAAAGTAAAATAACATTAACATTGGAATGCAAGAGGTATGTTTTTCCTTCTGACACCAAAATACCTTTTAAAACGACTGGGATGACCTTCAAAGTCATGTTGTTTTTACACCGATTATGGTCATAATTTTCAACCTTGAACAACTTGAGTATCCAAAATGGTGAAGTAATCAACATTAGGGAAAGTGGACTGATGTATAATTTTTGTATTACTCACTAAATAATTTGCAGTGATTTTTAAAATCTATATATAAATATATTTCCCAATAGTTTAAAATTCGTCAAGGTCACATTGGTTTTGTTTAACTGAACCAATTGTATTTAACCAAAATAAAGAAATGCGCAAATTTCAAATTTTTTTATATTTTTTATTTCTTATTTGAATTCTCACATAAACAACAACAAAAATAACAAAATTCTTGGATAGGTTGGGGAAGCACGGCATTTACTGGAGCAAATGCCTATTTCTGGGTACCTATTGCTGGTCCATATATCGGTGCAGCGATTGGTGCAGTCCTCTATGAATTGACAATTGGTATTCACCTGGATCGTAACGCTGATTTTGTTGTTCATACTGACTATGATGATACAAGATCGGATGGTACAAAATTAATGGCTCGTTCATCTTGATAAGATAAAAGAAAAGAACGGGGACAAATCATGAACATATTTCCCTGTGGTTTTCGCTCAAGAATAAGAATTGGGAATTATTTTATATATGTAGCAATAAATAAACAGTCATTATTCTTATCTTTTTCATCAATGTTATTAATACGCATATTTTCGCTATTTAATAAACCAAACTTTTAGAAAAAAATAGATAAAGAAGATTCTATTAGACTGTGAATTAACATTCTTCATTTAAAAATCAATAATTAGATAAGATTTCAATTAAAATAAAGTCGTTTTTGTTCAATATTCAATGGGTTTTGTTTATCCGCTATTTAAATGGGAAAAAAGCGGGATTTTCAAATCGATTCGGTTTAGATAATTTGAATGAGGTATACAATTCAAGTTGAGATATATGATGAAACGAAAAAAAGAGAATCTGTGGTGAAACTAAATAGGATAGTCGTTTATATCAGTGGTGACGATTGAAGGCGATATGAAATTATATGGATTTCATACATTTATTCCCATTAATGAATTTGAACAAAGTAAGAACTGCAGTTGTAGCAGAATAAATTGGCAGCATCGGTGTTTATTTCGTTACCTTCTCGTCAGCTGCTTACAGGGAAAAGACCTTATTAAATGTATCTACAAAAACAATTTTAACATACTTGCACAGCGATCTCATTTTAAACAAAAATCAATCGACCAATATACGCATACCCTAATAATATATATATATGCAATATTAAACACTATTCCGAACAATAATAATCGCATTCAGATGAAAAATATCCAGTTACCAGGCAGGGCAAACAAAGACTGATAACCACTTCTTTCTGAACGCATAAGTCAGGTTTCAGGCGCTTGATGGAAATAGCTTCAGCAAACTTGAGGAGAATTGAGCTCTTTTGCCTAGTGATAATTTTTAACGATGTTTCGACGTCCACCTCATGACCCGTGTCGAGGAGATACCTGGCGATGGCACTGTTCAAAGCATTTGTTCCCTTTAGAAGTAGGCTTTTTGGTACATGTTCAGAAAATCGTTCTGTTCTCCCAATGTAACTGGTCCTGCAGATACATGTAAATTTGTATATGCAGTTGTAGTTAACATGAGAAGGATATCTACCGATTTTTGATTCCACCAAAGAGCAAGTTGTTCGATGGACGGGAATCAACTTCGCTAGCTGCAGGATAGGCTCTGGCTAGTTACGTCCTCAGTCTTCTGTAGATCATCGCTGCAATGTTTTCACCTTTATAATCAAGCTGAAAATAGATTGGCTTTTTTCCTACTGTGATTTGCTTTACATTTGTGACTTCAGATCATCCAAACTTGTTGATGAACCTTTGGGGGTACCCATTGCTCTTCAATATCTTTTTAAGAAACTCAAATTCCTCCTCCAATTTCTCCATGGAGCATATTCTCCTCGCTCTATGGTACACAGTCTTGACTAGATCGTGTTTAAAGCTATTTGGACAAAAGCTATTAAAATGTAAGTATTGTCCTTTCCATGTGGGCTTTCGATAAATTGACTTTGGAAGACTACCGTCTTCTAGGCGTTCCATGGTGATGTCGAGGAAGAGGATTGTGTGAGAGTATTCAGACAAATGCTGAAATTATGACTTGGTGAAATTTTGAATCTTGTAGACTTGTAAGCAGAACATCGCATTGGAGAAGATATGTGGTTCAGATGGATGATTTTGATTTGGTTGTGCTCTCTAAGCTCAGGAGTGGATTTTATTACGAAGCTTTCGTCGTTCCGCTTCTAGAAAACATTGATTTAGCGCAGATTTTAGTATGGAATGAACCCATTTGAATTCTCCACGAATAATGATATAATCATATCTCCCTACTGACAACCATTGTCTTGAATGGTTGTTAATTTTCGTCCCTATCGATCATTCTGATTAACTTAGAATTCGAACTTCCTTGTCATGTGACGATTTACTTTTTATTAGCTGGTACATGTGGCTTCAACAAGACATCTCCAATTTATTGCATTCCCTGCTCTCCTCTTTAGTTCCTCGCCATTCGATCTCCTCCATGTCAACGCGGCACTGATGACCCACGCGTCGCTTCTTACTGGAGTTCCACTCCAGGGTCTAGAGGGCGAGAAAATATCATTAAAGATCATATTTTAACAGATTAAAATATAAGAAGGACAAGAGAAATTCTATGTCATATAAAATGATGGAGGTGTTTTTGTGGTAGCGCACGTTTTAAACAGGCCGCCACAACAATTGTCAAGTTTTTAATGACAAGCCAAATGCAAATTACAGATCGGTAATAATGGAAACGAGTTAATATCAGTAAAAGGTTTGAGCATTGTGGATTAGATCAATTAAAGTATAATTATATTTCAGTAGTTTACACACAATGATAAGTTTTTGTTATTGGTAATATTTCGAGCAAAATTACTGCCCGTGTTCACACAACAACTGTTGGAATTGTTTGATTCACACATTTATGATTTGTACTTATATATATAGTTCATTAATTTTGCTCATTAATGTTTTTGTATTCAGAATTATATTCCAAGTTGTTAATAGTTGTACTGAGTCAACCTTGTTACATGTATCCGGTGTGACTTTAATGAATATCGATTCTGTTATAAGTCTTTCTTTCCATTTGTTCATGTTAGTTTTTAGAATACACACATTGTTCCAATCGATATTGTGGTTTTTGTCCCATGCATGTCCAGCTATGGATGAATTTTTTTCAAGATTTTTGTAGGCTTGTGTTGCTGTTGGTTGACCTATGGTTAGGCGTTTATGTTCATTCACTCTTATTTTCAGTGATCTGGACGTTTGCCCCACATATTTAGTCGGACAGTCAGCACAAGATATTTTGTAAATCAAGTTGTTTTTATCCATCATTTTTTATGGGATCTTTCAGTTGATTTATTTTATTTTTGATTAGATTTGTCGGTTTAAAAGTTGTGTGAATGCTGATATTTTTGAGGTTTCTTTGAATTGCCTCTCTCTCATGTACCATTTTTATATGGTATTGTGACTGTCTTTTTGCATTCTTCCATCTTGTTATTCTCCGGTTTTACCCTCTTTTTTCTCTTTTTTATATTATCTTTTATAAATTCTTTTGGTTAGTTGTTTTCGAGTAGCATGTTGAGTAGGACGTTTATTTCGTAACACTGGTCCTCTGGTGTTGTTGTAAGTCTACGTATTCTGTCTGCAAGACCTTGTATTAATCCTCGTTTCACCGTGAGCGGATGAGCTGAGTGATAATCAAGGAATTTTCCAGAGTGTGTGGTTTTTCTATATAGCGTCGTTTTAAAGCCGCCATCTGTTATTCTTTGTATGAATGAGCAAAAATAATGAACTATATATATGAGTACAAATCATAAATGTGTGAATCAAACAATTCCAACAGTGGTGTGAACACGGGCAGTAATTTTGCTCGAAATATTACCAATAACAAAAAATATATAGTGAGATTTCCTGAATTAATTCACTCCGTCAATATTTTTATCGCGATGTATTATTACATCTATTGCATGCTTAAATCTTATTTTATTTTGTCTGGATATTACGTCATTCGGTCTATGGTTGGATTTAGTAACAAGCCTACGTCTTACGTCATGCATCGTGTAATTGACTGCATAGATTTAAATACCATTCAAAATTTCCGTTTAGATGGAGGATTGATTTCTAAGTATTAATTAGGTAGAATTGTGAAAAAGGTTTTATTCCATTTCAATAAGTGATAAGATAGTTTTGATTTGTGTGTTTTTTAATTCGAGTACTGCTTAAAAATGCATTCATGTTACAGGTTACTGTGTGTATGCAAACAACAACAACAATAAACTGTGATTTTCAAAAGAATCGATGCTGAACAAAGAATACTCTTTTCGATAACTTCATCATCACGCTCTACAGTTATATATACAGTATAGTGAATGAATGGATTAGTGTTATGAACAACATTAATGTTGCTGTTTAAATAACATCGAATCAATAATAATATTGATAGATTACAGCTCAATAGCATCAACATAACAATAAGCTGAATGTCAGGAGAATTAGGAAAGATAATAATACAAATTCATGAATTTATAGTCTCTACTGAGGGCTGGCCAGGGCAGTAGTAGAGGCTGGCTGGACTTGCTTCTTTCGAATTGCAATAGCCTCTGCTGCTTGAGGCATGGCGAGTTTCGATGATTTTGGCAATTTATTAGGCACCCGGTAGATGATAGAGAAGGATTCTTCAATGCTGGCTGGCTTTGTGGCCGTTGCTCTGGGAACTTGATTTTTCGCGCTTAAGAACATCTCTCACTATGGCTAAGAAACGGTGTAGTTAAAACCAGTAAAAGTTCGATATTGGTGCATCTGGTGCAAACCGGCCAATCACAAAGCCAGCCAGCATTGCATAATCGTTCTCTATCATCTACCAAGTGCCTAGTAAATTGCCAAAATCATCGAGGCACTACATGCTCCAAACAGCAGAGGCTATTGCAATTTGCCTCAAACAACCGGTGCGCTGTGTTCAAAAGAAACAAGTCCAGCTCCTAATTTTTCTGACATTCAGCTTATTTTTATGTTGATGCTGTTCAGCTGTAATCTATCAATATTATTGATTCAATGTTTTCTAAACAACGTTAATGTTGTTCATAACACTAATTCATTCATTCACTATAATGTATATCTAACTGTAGAGCCTGATGATGAAGAGCAGGTTATCGAAAAGAGTGCTCTTTGTGCAGTACATCCATTCTTTTGAAAATTTTAATGGGCATTTTTAACTGCGATTTATTGATTGATGAAAAGACAACGGAATATTTAGTTCGATAACTGATGTTCATTTCATTACATTATAATAATAGCTATTATTAATTCCTAGTTCCTCAACTGTTCAACTAGCTGCCTTACATTTGGGTCCCACTTTAGGGTCTACCTGGAGCATGATATATCACTAAAAAGTCTTCTCAGCGTACAATTAATCCACCTTCATTTACTTCGGGATATTTGCTGAGCAATAGATTCCTGATTCATTTGTTCCTCAGTGGTTCTTGTTGCTAATTCTTTCCCACTGGCCGTCTGTTCTT